CCATGCATGAATACATGGATAGCATTATGCTCCTTTCTTAGTCATCTTATTCAAAGGTCTTTATATTTTTCTTACTTTTTGAAAAGTTATGACAATTTAATTTTACATTCCCATTGCTATACTTTCTTGCTCTACATCTTTATGTTAGATTTTCAAGCTGACATGACGTTTTGATATGCCATCACCAAAATTTGGTCAAACGCGGACCTAATAAATCGATATATTATTATTATATCATTTACAATAGCTCTTTTCGTTTTCCTGTTATTACCGATTCTGAACCGTCCTAGAACTCTGCAGCGCATGCGCAAATGAAATAATGTCTTCATATTTCCTTCTGCGCATACGCATCACAGTTCTAGGACGGTTCAGAATCGGTAATAACAGGAAAACGAAAAAAGCTATAATCGTCAGTTTTTTGCAACCAACACCTTATTTATCTTGAAATATCATAGCATTAATTCTAAAGGTGCGTATTCATTATCCGCACGAACGAACGAACGAACGAACGAATGTTCGCTAGTGGTATGGACGGGGACCGCACGATAGAACCGCACGAGAAGACCGCACGCATTTCTTCATTCGCGCGCCAGTTCAAATCGTCAAGATATTGTTATAAACCTGTTTTTTTTGTTTATATACCGTCATTGAATTATCGCTAAGCAAGTTACTATGGAGCAGTGCATAAGGAGTCGGGCTAGGAAGCGAGAGACCGGAGTTCGAATCTCGGCCGGAACATCACTTTTATTTTTTTTTTAAATACTGTTGTATTCTATAGTTTATTTTTGTAGTATAAAAAAGAACTATTTATTCTGTATTTTTTAATCTCCGTTATTAATATAAATTGATTGTTAGTACAATACCTCATTTAATATAAAATAATATTCTACTTTTTGAAATGTATCGGGCCCTAATTGTACCTAAAAGTAATATATTTTTAGTGATATACCATATTGTAAACTATTTAATATTTTAGTCACTTAAAAAGTTAATTTGCATTGAATAATTGCCTACCATTAAAGGAAATTTGAGCTATATAATCCTTGATGGGCATATTCTGGGTATGCAAATACTTCCTTTAAATTTTGGGTGTCGTTCAACCGATTTATTCTCAAAACCAGAAACTTCTACATATAAAAAGAAGCAGAGGTCACTAATTATAATAAACTTCACCCTTGGTATTACTTCCACTAATTATAATAAACTTCACCCTTAGAATTACTTCTATCACAATTACAATACGTTCATCTGCATTGGCATTTTCTACTTTTCGATGGGAAACAATAAACTTCCCAATATTTTTTAAATGATGTAACAATTCCTCTTGTGGTTACTTTTCCATAGATATCCTCAACTCTGTCCTCATGTGAATTCAGAGGCAATGAAAATGAAAATTATTTACCATAAACATCGCAAACTAAAAACCTAAAAACAATTTTATACCGAATATAGAAATAAATTTAGTATTTTTACCTATTATCGTCCAAATCCATGTTAATATATAATTATTATTCTTAAATATATTTTTGGAACTGCTGGTTTTAGTAATTATTAAATTAAACGAACTAAAAAGTCTTAAAAATAAAAAATTCTTAACCATAACCTCAAAAATGCAGATCTCCTGTCAACTTTCTTTATTTTTTATTTATTCCTCATTTTCCTAGTGACGTCACAGGTGGTATGCGCGAACTGAACGAAATTGGAGCCGCTATCGATCATACCGTGTATTCTTTGTACCATGACGTCTAAACGCCTTTGATGTACCGACTCGAAGCGGATGGTCGAGCGCACGAACGAACGAACGGCCGCATGCGTTCGGTCCCCGTCTAAATATACCGCACTTTCATTCGTTCGTTCGTTCGTTCGTTCGTTCGTTCGGATAATGAATACGCACCTTAAATCTGAAAGCGCACGCAGGCGAACGCCTTTGATGTACCGACTCGAAGCGGCTGGTCGAGCGCACGACCGAACGAACGGCCGCATGCGTTCGGTCCCCGTCTAAATATACCGCACTTTCATTCGTTCGTTCGTTCGTTCGTTCGTTCGTTCGGATAATGAATACGCACCTTAACGTAATTTACCAGAAGGAGATCGCTACCACCTTACGCGGAACGGCTCGTTTTTAGATAATTTAATAATCCACGTACGGGATCGCTTTTTTGTCGCATCCCCGTCTTAATCCACGCTTATCTAAACGTAAGTTCTTGGACGGCAAAAGCGTCTCGCGGCAAAAAGCCGACGTGCAACTAATCCATTTAAAACAGGTGGACGGCTCGCGCGTATACGGTGACGCGAACAGGGCATTTCCCGGCCTTTTTTGCTAATTAAAATTAGGAAAATTTTCTCCGGCAGCAAAAACTTGGCAACGCGGTCCTTTTAGACAGAGCAATTATTGTAAAAGGTTTAGACTGGCAAGGTGTTAAACCAAAATACAGATCGAATGATAAGTTATCCAGAAACGTATCTTCATTTTTATTCCAGCAAGAATTTACATAGTTATAATTGGGGTAAATAAAAACAGTAGATACCTATACATATACATACAGTTATGTGTACTATAGGGACAACTATGATACGATAAGTATCACACATACATATGACTTATACATTGTATGTCTCATATACCGTCAGATTTCATCATTTTAATAATTATTTGTTACGTTACAAAAAACTCTTTAGAATCTTGAGTGCATACGGTATACAACTAGTAAACACTGTATCACACAATTCTATCAATATAAACCTACGTGTATCTCATATGTATATGTTAGAACTAGATGAACACTTAGGTTCACTTTAACATATGTTGTTTCTCATGTGTCTCCCTTGTAGAAACGTAATTTCATTTGATGGACGTGCTATATGGGTATAGTTGCTCTAAGTAAAGAATAAAATATCTAGAACATTATATACTATCGAGTTATTTTATCACCCACCCTGAGCATGATCTAATATTTTTTGTAGATACATACTAAGTAACCACGTATTATATTACTAGCGCGACCTATTAAATGCTGAAACGTAAACAAATGTCAAACGACCAAAGTGGATTATAAAAAACGTTGTTACTTTAAACAGGCGCGAAGTGACTAATACGGTTGCTAAATCCATCTAAACATCTTGTATACGAGAGGCGCCATCGCGGTTAAATCATAACAAGAACTGTTTTGATTTGGCATAGTGTTATACATACAGTCAACGTATAATGCCTATCAAATACAGTTATGAAAATAATTATACGATTTACAATCCAAAAACTTCCTAGTTTTAGCTTGTAAGTTCATGTTCTCAGTATTTTTCTTTAAGAGTAATTTTATCAATGTCACTATATTTTTTCCATTGCAACTGTTAAAATTGCCTTATATATATCAAAAATAATAGATAAAATAGTATTATACTTTAACAGCGAGGATAGGTTAAAAACTTTATTTCTTCTCGCACAAAACGTGCGAGAAGAAATAAAGTGAATTATTGTTAATTGCATCCATTTTTGAAAATTTTTGTATTCCTTTTCATAAGTTATTCGGGATTTAATTGGAAGTAGTTTGGATATGGCGTTTGTCGCCTCAGCCTGAATATCTGTTGGTAATTTACTTATTTCGTTTTGAGCCATTTCTGGCTCCAATTCAATCAGTAATCGACACGAAAGAGAATTAAAAAATATTGACCCAAAACCATTGCCTGGAAACTTATATGGTGAAATTTTGATCTCACTAAAAACACGGTATGTCGCTAGTGGTAGGAAAAATAATTTGTAGAGATTACTAGTTTATTTGGTTGCCTGTGATATGATACAGAGTGTTTCCTAATTAATCTAAAAAATAAAAAATCGTTAGAAAACGGCTTAATGCGGGCTCTTAATAAGTATATTTTTTTTCTCGGCAACCGTTTGATGAACAAGAAAAACTCAAAAGATTAATTTTGTTGAAAAAGGATGGCCAGTCAAGAAAAAAATATATTTTCTTTAAAAAAGCAGTAGTGTACCATTTATTTTAAGCAAAATATCGATTTTTTTAAATTTTTAACACCCTGTAGATCAGAAAGGAAGTATTTTAGACCTAATGGTTATATAAAAATTGTTTTAAGAACACATGAGGAATCACACCACAATTTTTTAGACTAATTAGAAAACACCCTGTCTTCAACTTGACAATGATTGTTGATAAATCAAAAAATACCTTTTCTGTGAAAAAAGCCCGATTTTCGCAGGAAAAATTTTGGTTTTTATTGAATTTGGGCCTGCGTCTGCAAATACCCCCGGTATGTTTTTTAATATTCTATCTATCTAAATTTTAAATATCATAGTTAGAAATAGTTTTATTATTTATTAACTGTAAAAATGGTTTACTTATAAGTTTTATCAAATATTGTGATTTACTTTCTACCTTGTAGTCAAAATTTATATTTAATAAACTGTAAAATATATTATTCTTATATTTTATGAAAGTTACTCTGATATACTAATATATCAGTGTAACTTTAAAACTAAATCCTTTGAAATCAAATATAAACATAAAAAATATTTACAGCAGAAAAGGCGAAGGCGCTGGGTTAAACGTAGTCTCTACTAAGAACACAGAGGGGCGCTTTAACCCAAAATTTTACTATTAAGTTTCATATCTATCTTAATAGAGGATTATTTTCTTTATCTATGCTCAAACCTGACAACTAAAGAGACAGCTTTATTTATTTGTCAAATTACATAGAAACCAACGCCAACCCAGCGCAATATTTTTTCAACTCGTAATAAATTCCTTGAAATAATAATTTCTGAATATTTTTTAAAACGTAACTCGCTATGGAAAAAAGTATTGTTTTATACACTACGATAAAATTGCATTATCGTCTCCCGAAATTAATTCACTCGCGATTTCATCGCTCGTGAATTAATCTTTTCTGTCGGCGATAAAATGCCATTTTATCGTCTTGTATAAAAAAATAACTATTTTATCTTACTATACACGATATTGGTTTATTAATGTTTTTTCTCATTGTTACAGTCATGCAAAATATGCAACAAGACCTTTGCAAATGTCTACAGACTTCAAAGACACATGATCAGTCACGATGAGAGTGCCGTATTGAGAAAATTCAAGTGCACGGAATGTGATAAGGCCTTCAAATTTAAACACCATCTTAAGGTAAGAATATTGAGATGTTATAATGTTCCATTTAGATTTACATTGTTTTACTTTTCAGGAACACATACGAATACACAGCGGGGAAAAACCGTTTGAGTGCGGCAACTGTGGAAAACGATTTTCACATTCCGGATCCTACTCCAGCCATATGACATCGAAAAAATGTTTAGTTATGAATCTGAAACAAGGCAGAAATCGTACGCTTCTAAACAATTCTATGTTAGACAAGAACTCGCAGCAAAATCTCAAGGGACCCAAAAGATCCTCGGTTAATTCTATAAATAATAATATTACCTCTAGTCCAAACCACAACTCTCCGTTTATGCCAATTCTACCTAAATATTCAGAAGCAGCAGCCGCTTTGTTCCAATCCCAGTTGGCCGGGGGTGCGTCTGTGCCGCCATATTACCTAACAACGCATAACATGTTGAATTCTGGTCACCCCATCAATCCGTATGTTCCTACGTTAAGTCACATCCTTGAACAACTCCATCAGCAGAATGCTGCGAATCCAATGCGCAACGCGCTAATGGAAACATCTGAAATAAGAACTTCTGAAGAGCCCAATAAACATCTGAGCGAGAAACCCATCATGACATCTTCTGAAGCTAGTCATAGACCGCAAAACTTTGATGAAACGTCTAAATCAAACGCATCGGATTGTGGAGACTTAGTAATGGATGAGGAAGAAGATAATCAAAGTCGATGTGAACCAAATAGAGTCGACGAAAGATATTCTAATAAACCAGAATTTGAAGAAACAAAAATTAGCAACCTGAGTATGCAAGAAGCTGTGTCTAAAGCTATAAGTAATGTCGATAACAGCGAAACTATACCTGCTAATAGCCAGACATTTTGTGATGGTGCTAGTGAAACTACTCATATTAGTCCGGCAAATTCACCTAAAAATGCCGGCTCTAAATATTGCCATCACTGTAATAAGTCATTGAATTCAATAGAACAACTGGAAGACCATGATTGCAAGGATCCTCAAAGTGAAGGTCTGGCTGCAAAACTCGAAGCAGCGTTAACACCAAAGTCGGAGAACTGTTCCAACGAAAATATGAGTGGAGCGGAAGATCAAGATTTCGAACGATCAAGTTACCACACGAATGATGAAATGGATTCGGAGAACTATACTACAACGGATCATGTAAATGAGGACGGTAGAAAAGTAAGAGTTCGATCCTTGATATCCGAAGAACAATTGAAGGTGCTTAAAGATCATTATAAAAGTAATCCCAGACCGAAACGGGAAGATCTTGAAAAAATCGCGAGCAGCATTGGATTTCCCGTTCGGGTCGTTCAAGTATGGTTCCAAAATACTAGAGCGCGTGATCGAAGAGAAGGCCGACTCATTCAAGTTCCTTACAGTCCAGTCGCGTCAGGGTCACGATATTCTGTGCCTTCAACTCACGCGGGGTATCCTGCTTTACCCCACGAAGACGCATCAGAGCAACCGTTGGATCTATCGATTAAAAGAGATTCGAACTCAAACGAGACTACGCCGTGTTCTTCTCCGAAAAGGCCGCATTCTGTAAACCATTCCGAGTCCCACGACGAAGTGGTGAATTTAAGTCACAAATCGTCTAGAAGCCCCACCCCCTATCTGCCTTATCACAATAGTTTTCAAGGATCAAATTCCTCCGATCCGAGCCAGTCTCCGTCTCCCTTAGAATTCAACAGCAGTCGATTAGCACAGATCTTTAACCAGCCCGCTCATAAGTTAGCGACGTTATCTAGTCTCGTTCCTATGGATCATTTGATGCATTTCGGAGCTCATGATTTGCCTTTGAGCTTAACGCAATTTATCAATAGCAGAATATCTAGTCTGAGTCCCAATTCGAATAACTCGTTGCACGAAGCGACGCAAGACGACGAAATGATGCAGAGTAAACGAGCAAAGGTGTCGCCGTTTATGCTGAAGAATTTAAGCAGTCCCGGATTGAGCCAAGAAGTTGAAGCTGAAGGTCAGTTTCAGTGCGATCAATGCGACAAAGCGTTTTCGAAACAAAGTTCCTTGGCCAGACATAAATATGAGCATTCTGGTAAGCATTACTGAAAAAGAAAATCATTAAAATATTAAAAGATTTTTTTTGTGAAAGCGTTTCGAAATTGACAGTTTTTGATATTTATTTGAGATTCGAAATGACATTCTTTTAGGCACTAATACCTAAAAGTGACACTTGTTTAGCCACTAGTGCCTAAAATAAAAAATGAAACGTTGATAACAATGAAAATATTTATTTATTATAAATATTAAAGGTACAATTATTTAAATTATTAAAGTGAATACAAGAGGCATCCAATTTTTCGTCTCTAAGAAAAATGAATTTTTGGCATACCCCCAATTATATTGATTCCAACTAGCAGGGTACAGCATTGATTTTTTCGATACGCCAAGAAAAATCGCTGATGTGTCACATTGAGTGGTCGAAGTTTTGCGTACTGACGAAATACATTGACGAAGAAGCATCATAGCATATTTTTCATAGCATCTATTGGTCCCTCAGTAAACGTAAACACTCTTGGAAAATGAGTTTTTGTATACGGAATCTTCACACTAATAAATGACTGACAATCTTTAATGGCATCTATGGTCAAAAACGTGATTTCTTCCCTCCTACATACTCCAAATACTCCAACGATTAAGACAACTTTAGTTAACATGAATCCTTTGTCATCGGCTTCTTTCATAAAGAGTTCTATTTCTAGTTTTGTAAATAATTTTGATTTCTTTGCCTGATATCCGGAAGCTTTTCTTTTTAAAAATGCAATAAGGTTTGTGAATTTGCTAATGTCTACGTTTCTGTTCAGGTAAATCATGGTGCGGAGCATCGAATATTTACTCCACAGAGTTGACGGCTTTAAGGTAGTGGATAACTTCAGGAAATAGGCTAGCAATATCTTTTCTGTGAAATTCTCAACATGTTTTTCTTTGACCTAGGTTTCAAAGTTGTTGTAGGTGGTTTCGTATAAGTTTTTCGACTTTTCGGGCACTAACGTGGATAGCGCAGATTCAGCAGCTTGTTAAATATCCAAAGACTCGTCATTATCGCTCATTTTTTCACAAAACTTTGTAGAAAATACGGCGACGTTTGAACCAGAGAGAACACTAATAACTAAAGTGAGAGAGACCGATCAACGTTAATTTTTGAAGACTGTGTTAGTCTATTCGAACTATGAGCGCATTATCGATATAGTAGGTTTCATTCATACCTATATACTGGCGCCAAAAATTTAAAATTTGTATATTTGAACGGAATCTTAATCTTTCAAGTTTATAATAAGAAATCTTCGTAGTTTTTTTAGATTATTTTGTTGACAACGAAAATTTATTATTACTTTAAAGCATTAAAACCTATAAATAAAATAATGTGTAGGAACATAATAATTTATTTAACTCCAAGAAATATCTAGCAATAAAAAGAAAAAAAACGTATCCCCATAACACAAAATAAATTAAAATCTTTCTTAAAGATGTTAATAATAAATAAAAACGAAACGATACATACTAATGTTTTGCCACAGGTTTTTCTTGACCTGTGGGTGAACCGTTTGTCAACCCAGGTGGGTTGTGGATTGTCATGCCTTTTCTTGAACTAAAAATAAAGAAGTTCAATTTTTCATTAAGGTTTAATTTTACATGCTTACCAGTTTAGGTAATCCGTTTCTGTACATGTCGTAGTGGAGCTCCTACTCCTTGCCATACTCCAACTCAAGGCTGCAATCTTCAATATCTTTTTTATCTAACTTGGTTGGGAGTGAACAGGGAAGCACGGTTGTAAGGGGACCTCGCACAGAGTATCAGTAGGTATCCCGTAGGTATTCAATGTTTTTGATAGTCTTTATTCTATAACAAGAACCTAATCGATAAGAAAAATCAGTTGAAGAAAATAATTTGTATTACTGGTAATAATACCAGGTATAATACCTAGTCGTTCCATAGGTATCAGAAAAGAATGTGATATTTTACTTTTACAATCGGATTTATCCCATAGGTTATGCTTACCTATGTAAATTAGCAATGTACGACTATTAGTACGAGAGCTAGCAACGTCGGGAAAACAAGTATTTTAAGACGTCTGGCTCTTTGATATATCTTTTACTATGCTCTCTAGAACAGTCTGGCCGCCGGTAAACGTTGCGTTCCCTACTGCGCATTGAAAGAAGATCCTATATTTTATTAGTTATTTAAATTCTAGAATATATTCTAGAATTTAAAAATGTATAAACCGACCGAGTCTCCATAACTCAATGCGTAGAATTTCAGACCACTAACCGAAGAGTCAGAGTTCGAATCCGGGTCATGACAAAAACTTTTTTATTTTATTTTTATTTATATTCGATTTTATTCGAATATTTGATTTTTTTTGAATCACCAGAATTATTTAATACTTTACTATCAGAATATATACGAAAATAAAATAAAAAAGTCTTTGCCCTGAACCAGATTCGAACTCTGAATCGTCGGTTCGTAGTCGGAAACTCTACGCCCTGCGGTATGGAGATATGTTCGATTTTTATTCAATACTAGAATTTATAGGACTTAATTAAAAAAAATATAGGATCTTCTTCCGATGCGCAGTAGTGAACGCAACGGATATCGGCAGCCAGACGAGCATACTGTTCCAGAGAGCATAGTAAAAGATATATCAAAGAGCCAGACGTCTTAAAATACTTTCTCGAAAACGTTGGTAGCTCTTAGACTATATTATGTGCCCTCACTATTACTATTAGGTATTTTAAAATAATTACCGAGATAAAACTTACCTTTAAAGGAAACGTTTTATCTGGATCTCAACCACAAAACAAAAATTACAAAAATGCCGAATGAAGTAGTGAGAAACACCTGGTCGGCTAAAAATGAATACAGGTCTTAAAAATACACTATAACGAATAATCTACCAAAAGACCCCTGTAACCCTCCGCCTGCTAAATATTGATTCTTCAACGACAAAAGTTCTTAAAATGTTTACCGGTTAATTTATTTAATAAAATTCTTGCACTCGAAATCCGGGCACTCGAAAAAACAGCGACTACCTAAACGCATCCTAGATCTATAGAGCAAACTGGTTGTCGCATCCTTCCCCGCACCACAGTCCTCGGGACCGATGCGATGGGCTGTGCCGTCGTTTACGACCTGCTGTTACGAGTATATAGTGTGAATTATATATGTTCGCGAACGTTTTGTTCGAGTAGCTTGGACGCGACTTAATAATATGCATAATATTAATAGTAGTTATTATAAATAAATCAACTTCTACAAACTAGTTTCTAATGTATTACGTGCTCGAAAGAGTTACCAATCTCCCTATTGCAGAAATTTATTTTTCGTTCAATTTTATTTATAGCTCTTTGAACTTTCTCCTTATACTTCCGAATGCATTTTGAACGCTTTATTGTAAATGTTGAGATGAATTCATTTCACTTTTACAAATGGCTTTTACTTGGCGATAGGTACAGGAACTTAGAGCAGTATAAATTATATTACTCTACCATTTCCAGTCCATCTTCCGGGAAAATAATTTCATTGTTTATATTTTATTTAAATGAATTATTGCCGAATAATCGTGGAATCTCAAATAATCAATAATGACAATCATATGACAATAATCTTCTCTTCTTACAAGGTAAAAGAGAGGGTACATTCAGTCAAAAACAATTTATTAATCCGATTATCAACAGATTTTAGTTATCTCCTTCTAGAGCTAAGAAATAGAAAAAGCTACTGTCAATCTAATTAATCCTGTCAAATGTTTAACTTGCAAAGTTGAAAACTTCCTTTTTTGACCGCCTAAACGCTACGCGCGTCTGGGATGCGAGGTGACAAAATAAACTTGTCTACGAAATGCCCCTATTCCACAAGCCCTCTCACTTTAGTTATTAGTGTTCTCTCTGGTTTGAACCTGACAGAACTTTGTCATTAAACAATGCATAAACAATGCCTTAGAAACCGATTACCAGAACATTTTAAAGAATGTTTAAAAATAAATAATAATAATAGCATGAAAATCTTAAATTATCCGCTTTCACAAAAAATCTTGTATGAAATTCGTTGCGAAAAGAGTGGTTTAAGCACTTGACGCATTTTGCGTCTAGTGCTTAAAAAACATTCATTTTGCAACTTGTTACATAAATAACTATTATGTAATTTTAGGTCAGCGTCCCCACAAATGTGACGAATGTCCCAAAGCCTTCAAACATAAGCACCACCTTACGGAACACAAGAGACTACATTCTGGTGAGAAGCCGTTTCAGTGCAGCAAGTGTCTAAAACGATTTTCGCACTCTGGATCGTACAGTCAACATATGAACCACAGGTTTTCGTACTGTAAACCGTACAGAGAATAATTATTGCAATAACAATACAACGCTCAGTGACGTGATTAAATTGTTGAACATTTATGTGCTATATTTTTGTGCCAATTCTAATAAGGTATTTTTAAGGGTTTTTTTATTATTGTAAAGTATATTTTTCTCTATCTTAACTTGTAAATTTTTAATTTTTTATAGCTGTGAATTTTGTGCCATACTATGATAGTTAAATCATCGGACAGAGTTAGTTTTAATTTAAGTGCAATAATAGCCTGATTTTTTGTTCACTTAAGACAATTAGATTGCATTTCTAATTATTTATTAAGGGCATTAATTTATTTAATATGATACTTAATATACAGGGTGCTACAAATTCGAGGTACCAGCATTGTTATCTCGGTAACCGTAATAGATACGAACGTGGTTAAATTGGGGCAAAGTTTCACCAAGATGCCATCAAAAAAGTTTTAAAAATTTCAAAGATTGCTGAGTTTTTTGGATAAAACTGATTTTTTTGAAAATCAATTTTATTTTTTCCTGTCGTTACTTTTTAGAAAATCAAAAAACTAATTGCACATTCTCATAGCCACTTCATTAGGGCTGTCTGACGTATATGTAGATTTTCAAATTAGCTGATAATTTGTGGGATACAGAGGCCAACTTAATTTTTTTAAATACAGACCTGCATATTTTATTTCAGATTTTGAAAGAACTCGGTCTCCTGAATACAATGATATGCCACACTTTATACTTTTTTTTGTTTTGGGTTACATTAACAGCAACAAAACTATTTAATTATATTTAAAATAATTTCAAGTCCGACTCTGGTTTCTTAAATTATTTAGTCTGATTATATTCATCGCAACAATATTGAATATTGATCAGCACTAATTAACATTGAAATCGAGCCAATTGGAAGATTCAAATAGATAATATCCAAGTCAGAAATTTAAAGATAATATTTTTAACTTTTTTTTATTGTGAATTTGAAATCTCAGTGTGCGACCTAAAGCCGCGTCCAAGCTACTCGAACAAAATGTTCGCGAGCATATATAATTAAACAGATACTAAGTGAAAATTGTGAGATTGGCGTGCGTTTCGGCGGACATTGTACCGGACACTTGGAAGGGTCTCATTTAATTTCGGGCGTCCATCTGTGATTTTTATTTTTTACCGAGTATTCGACAATGGGAGACGCAGTTACTGACTGGGATCGGGAAAAACATTTACAACTAATTTTTTTACACAAAGAAAAGATTTTATAATTTTAATTTTATTGTGGGTTGAGTGTGAATAGCTATGTATAGCTAGACTTCGTCTATATAATTTCATTTTGTTAATAAAGACCTTTATGATTAAATTGATATTTTTATTAAAAACCGGAATTATTATGGGATTCTGGAATTAAAAATTACTACTTAATAGGAAATTTGACACCGGAAATGAAATTTTACCATTACATTTTTAGAAATAAATATACCGGGTGTTTCTGAAAAGTGGTTCACTTCTATAACTTTTTTAGATAAAAAACGAGATTTGGTATGTTAGTATAGGACATAAATCAGGATTGATCGACGTTTTCATTTATTTTCGGTCACTACCTATTTCACCGGAAATGACAACAACTTTTGATTTAAATGGTACCCTCGGTATTTTTTTACCGTATATGATAGAAAATGACATTCTAAATAGAATGATGTATTATATGTGAATTTTTGACATTTTCAATTTAAAAATGGCCATAAATAAACGTAACGACAATTTTACTCTAAATACCAAGTATGTGGTACCAAATTATTCGTAAAAAATGCTTTTTCCAAATATGCTGAGCCAGCCTCGTACCATTTGAAAAATTTGAGTTATCATTAAAAATACGATTTGGGCATCTTTTAAGCGGCCATGAAAGGATACGAAAAAAAATTACACGATCAAATATATGTTTCCAAAGTTCTTTGATTACAAATTAATAGTTTTAACTCAGTCTTGGCACTCTAGATTGATATTTAAAATGCTATTTTTATTTACTTGGAATTGTCTAAAATTGACGTATAATATGTCATTCTATTCAGAATGTCATTTTCTATCAAATAATGTAAAAAAGTACTTAGGATACAATCTAAAAATACAAAGTTGAAGTCATTTCCGGTGAAACAAAAAACGACCGAAGGTAATTGAATACGTCAATCAATCCCGATTTATGTCATATACCAACAAACCAAATTTCGTTGTATTATTTGAAAAAATAAAAAAGTAAAAAAGTGAGCCCCTTTTGAGAAACACCTGGTAGAATCGGCTGAAAATGAATACAGGTCTTAAAAATACACTATAACGAATAATCTACCAAAAGACCCCTGTAACCCTCCGCCTGCTAAATATTGATTCTTCAACGACAAAAGTTCTTAAAATGTTTACCGGTTAATTTATTTAATAAAATTCTTGCACTCGAAATCCGGGCACTCGAAAAAACAGCGACTACCTAAACGCATCCTAGATCTATAGAGCAAACTGGTTGTCGCATCCTTCCCCGCGATGCGATGGGCTGTGCCGTCGTTTACGACCTGCTGTTTTGTTCGAGTAGCTTGGACGCGGCTTAATAATATGCATAATATTAATAGTAGTTATTATAAATAAATCAACTTCTACAAACTAGTTTCTAATGTTTTACGTGCTCGAAAGGGTTACCACCCTCCCCTTTATTTTTCGTTCAATTTTATTTATAGCTCTTTGAACTTTCTCCTTATACTTCCGAATGCATTTTGAACTCTTTATTGTAAATGTTGAGATGAATTCATTTCACTTTTACAAGTGGCGATAGGTACAGGAACCTAGAGCAGTATAAATTATATTACTCTACCATTTCCAGTCCATCTTCCGCGAAAATAATTTGATTGTTTATATTTTATTTATATGAATTATTTTATTGCATCTGATTTTCCGTATTCAATGTTTTACCCCACGTCATTGTTAAGTTTGAATGCTCAAATCAATATTTTAACGATGAATAGATTAAATATTAAAAAAAAACAGAGCCGGACTTGAAATTAGTTTAAATAAATTTTGTTCAAATGTAAAAAAAAATATTAAGTGAGGCATATTATTGTACTCAGTAGACAGAGTCCTTTCAAAATCTGAAATAAAAAATGCAGGCCCGTATTTAAAAAAATTAAGTTGGCCTCTGTATCTCACAAATTATCAGCTAATTTAAAAATCTAAAAATACTATTAGATAGCCCTAATAAAGTGGCTATCAGAATGTGCAATTAGTTTTTTGATTTTCTAAAAAATAACGACAGGAAAAAATAAAATTGATTTTTAAAAAAATCAGTTTTTTCCAAAAAACTCAGCAATCCTTTAAAATTTTAAAACTTTTTTGATGGCATCTTGGTGAACATCCCAAAGCGCAACTTTGCCCCAATTTAACCATCATCGTATCTATTACGGTTACCGAGATAACAATGCTCGTACCTCGAATTTGTAGCACCCTGTATAGAGACAGAAAAATACGTTGGGTAACTTGTAGTATTAAAGACACAATTTCGGTTATTTTACTCAAATAACTACAAATAAGTCGTAGTATTAAATAGTCTTTGACACAGATCATTTATCTTGCCCTGAATAATGCTACCAAAGAATTCCAAAAATCTTCATTCATTCTAATAATTATTCATTTAGCTTGTATATAATTTTTCTGGTACCTGTATAAATACTCACTTTTGTACACAATTAGTGGTGCCAGGTTAACGAAATCCATTGTCTTCCACTACTGACTTATTTCTGTAGTGGTCTTACAGCAGGCATGGGGCACTAATGCAATTTTTTTATATTTTTTTATTATGACTACATATGTGCAATCTTGGCTTAAATAACTCGTATTAGATTTTATATTTTTTTATGACTTTACTAGAAATCAAAAACTAAAAATTCATAGTGCCAAAATGCAAAAATTATGTGCCATATTATTTTCTTGGTAAGTTACAGCCATAATATCTTGTGATTTTAAATTAAATTATCTATTATTTTTAGTTTAACCGAACTTAAATTACTGTAGATATGTAAAGAATGCTTATTAAGTGCCAAACGTATGAGCCGTTCAATATGTTTAAGGGTTTGCGTGATCTTTGTAGATATATAAGTAACATTTTTGGGTTTCAAAGTACATCGAAATTAAAATAGTTTATAGGAGCTAGTTGGGCCGAGGTTGAGGAAATATAAATATTGTTTATTTTAAATAGAGTCCATTTAAAATCGGGAAATTTTGTATTACTATTATATCTATAAAAAAAATCAGTATATTTCTCTAGATAAAATAGATATTATGTTCAGCTTTCATCAACCTTGAGCCTCTCTAAAACATTTAAAACCTGCCTTTAGTTGATAAACAGTACAATAAGATGGCGACAGCCGCTGCATTTAAGGTGTTAATCGACAATACGTAGTGCAGATAGATTTCTTTCAACAATACAATGAATAAATGGTGCCAGTTGTTACTAACAATTATAAATGATTTAATTAATTAAGAAACATAGCTATTATATTGGTGAGTTAACAGTGATTTGAGTTAACCATTAAAGTATATTTTAGAGTATTTTGAGAGTATATTATAAAGTAATTTATATTTGAATTCATTCCAAAAATTATGTACCTAACGTATAATTTTCCAGTGTGTGGTTTAACATAAGGTTTTTGACAATAAACATAGTCGTTTGATATAAAACCGTATATTTACATAGGACTGCTATTAATAAACTTGAAAAGTAGCATTTATTATAGAGAATCTCATTGCATTGGAGGTATTCAAACAAATATTTGAAAGATATTATTATACAGTTTCTAATATTAATGCACATACTTTTAAAATAAAGATTTCTCTTATATGAAAAAGTCTATGTATAGAAATATATTGTACATATTGTATGTTATTTTTATTTTCGGAAATATTGTAGTATGAACTAGCTTTTAGTACGTGTTAATTTTCCAGTTGCATATATTTTTTTTTGGAAATAACTTGCTAAACAGTTTTAGATTCTACATTTTGTTGCATTTTGTATATTATGTTGTTGTGAATTCTGTTAATATTATTTTTTGTATTTTCCATTGGCTAGTTTTACCAAAGAACATGTAATATATTTTAGCCTGTAGATTTCATGTTTATTTTTTTTTGTTCATTGATTTTTCTTTGTTCGTTTTTATAATTATTTTCGTTTTTGTATGTATTTTTATTAGGATTAGTTGGATTTGTAAAAATGATAATTATAAAGGGATATATAATGTAAAAAAGTAATTCAACAAGTTGGAAAATGTATTTTACCCGACAAATAAATATATGAATTAACTATATGTATATTTTTATTTGATTTACTCTGTTCCTCATCCTGGAAAGTGGAAATGGTGTGTTTCTTAAGCAAGGAGAATTAATCTAGCTAGATAATACCCTTGTTTGATCAACCGACTAGACAAAATGTGCTGCCAACTGGAGGACAAATCGTGAACCTTTCGGGGCGGAGTCAAAAATATCGATTATTTTCGTTATTTTCCTCAGAGTAATGTAATAAAATAGCCCCGGGTTTCTGCGAACTTTAATAGTGATCAGTTGATTAATAAATTTAAACGAAACTTTTATTTTATTGTAAATTGTGGATTATTTTTGCCTGTTATTTTAAGAATTCTAAACCGTATTAACAAAGAAATTATTATTTCGATATATTATTTATAATTTATGATAATGCTAATTGGCTGTTAATTAATATTTAAAAAAAATTACATACCTATTTTAATTTGATTTAATGCAGGTTTATAAAAGAATCATTTCATTTTTTTTAAACATAAAACTTTTTACATTTTTGGTGCCAACTAACTGGCATGGTATTATTGGTATGGAAATTAGCCAAGAAAGAAAAGAATTGGCTATAACTTGTAATTTTTCGAAAAAAACATATTATACCTATATCGCTGAAAAGCTTAAAAAATGGCGCTTTTTATGAAGTAATGGCCAACTATGGTTTCCATTTAAAAAAAACATAATGTTTGTGTCATATGTCAAAAATGACAGGCTTTAGGAAAAAAACAGAAAGCACAAACTCATTAGGTATGTGATTATCTACAACTTTTATCTGAAACTTTTTGTCTAAAATACCGTATGATCGAATAAAAATGGCGTCAGCGATGGCTATGAAATGACAATCGATGATATTTTCCATATAATTTTACATATAAAATGACAGCGATCTTCATTTCATAGCCATCGTTGACGCCGTTTTTATTCGATCATACGGTAGATTATAATGGAATTAGAGACAAGTTTTAAAATAGCCAAAATTTGTTTTTATCGAAATATCTAGTAAGCCTTGAACTTCCGAAAAATCCGAAAAACGCATATTTATGACCCTACAAAACTGCAATTATTCTTTCCCCATTTAACCGACTCTCTATCTCCAGTAGTTTCCGAGATACCCATAGAGAACATTGATCGTAGGAAACTTACCCTGTATAGTATTTAGAAACTAATAGAAACTAACTGTTATTATTATTTGACTAGATTAATTTGATTAATAAGACTCCATTAATTTAATTTAAAATAAATTTGGTCAGATTTTTTTTTCGTATATTCTACTACCAGAAAACCAAAATTATATGATAACGCACTTTTCAATGAAATTGAAGGAAGATATAGTGTATCTATCACAATACTTAATAGAATTATTACAATTAGAAGAAAAACAAAAAGAAAATATACCCAAATACCTCATCTACAAAATAAACTAATATAATATCTTATAAAAACACTACACAACTATTCTACCCTGAAAAAATTATCAAACTTACTAATTAATCAAACAAAAAGAAAAAATAACCAAATTATCCCTTCACCTACTACTTAACTACAAAATAATAAACTATAAAAACACTACTAAACTATTTCTGGTATTCTACACTAAACATTATAATTAAAGTTAATAAAATTAATCTAATTTTACACTACAACCACTACAACTACAAAGAAATAAGAACATTTTTTAAAACTAGAAGAAACAGAACTTCGATACGTGCGACCAGTATAATAGATCAAGCGGACAAAGAATATAAAATACTTTAAAAATGTGCATTCCAGAAAGAAAAATATCTCGAAATTACCTAAACAAACATTTTTTTTTCTTATCAGTGAAAAGCATCGGCCTCGTCGGCCTTGCGGAATTTATCGGGTATTTACAATGGCCGAATTGTATAATTACCAGCGTTTATAGCATATCTAATAGACAAAAAGTATCTGGTCGATTAGTAACCAATTGGCACAGTCCGAAAATAATCGATTTTTATTTTCTCTGTTTTTATTGGTCGCTTCAAAATTCAGAGTAACAAAAAATATTTTTCTGTAGTAAAAGACTGTGAAATACGCCCCGCCATCTGATGCTTTACATCCATAAACGTCTTAGGTTGAGCTACTTTGTAATGAATATCGATATTACATTAATAATTGAGATGTTTCTATTACCCCAAAAGCCTTTAGAAATACTAATTAAAACAATGTTTTTAACTAATTTGTGTTAATCTGTGGAAGGCACGTAATGTGAATGATAAAATCAATCTGTGAAAAAAAAACTATAATCTACAATAAAAGTTGATTTTACACAAAATCTCAGAGCTACGCCACTGTGTAAATTGTTCCTCTTATTTTGATTCTAAAATATATTTCAAATAGGCCTCGTGGTGCCCTCTCTATGCCAAAATCTAAACGATAAAAAATCGTATTACAGATTACTTACTGAGAGTATAGCCAAGTACCAATAGAGGGCACTACCTTGCAATAAATAAATTATTTAAACAAAGCTTGTGAAAAGCAACTAATTTGTATTAATTTATTAATATTATTAAAATTTGCTGGAATTTATTGTAATTCAATGATACGTATGTAAATTTAGATAGAGATGATAAATGATAACCATTATTATATAATTTTATATACATAGGCACAGGAATATTTTTAAAGGTGCACTCAAGCACTAAAAATTATAATTAGAAAAAATATATCCTATAATTTGTCATTTTTTAGTCTCTAGTAGTGCGACAAGAGTGATAAGTATTCTAGAAAAGCCTATGAAACCTTTATGTTTATTATTAGCTAAATTACTAGAAAAATTATTTTCCTAGCGCATTCGCCATATTTTAATTACTTTATTTTAATAATCTGCTCTAATTTGGGGATACTTTTTTTAATAGTGCTCTTTTATTTATATCATATTGTTATCTGTGCACTTATCTTGTTTAACAATATCCTATCAAAATAGATAGCTGCAATTTTAATGGTTATTAAATTTTGGAAGCACTTTAGTTCAGAAATATTCTCACAGATGGAATAACTCTAAATACTTTTAATAGCAAATACAGAGCAAACAATTTTATTTATTTATGGGTGCTACACTCTTCCATAGCAACACATAGCAACATGATGGCAACTATAAAATATATGGAAACTTCTAGCGGCATAAAGAGAGTCTAGTTTCTCTAATACCTTTAATTATTATTACAAAACACAAATTTAATTTAAATTTAAGGATTTTTATCGCATAAATATAATTTTCTTATGGCCACCGATACCTTTAAAAGTTAAGGAGATGTCTGAGTATGATGGGCCATCGATCTAACATCTATGATCTGATATTAAAAGTTGTTTTGAAGAATAAAAGCAGTTTTATTGTGAAACAAAAATATGTGAAGGTAAACAAACAAACATACAAATAAATAGCATTTATTTAAAACAAATTTAAAAACATTTTGTATTTTGAAAGACTTAACAACCAAAAGAAGGAAAACAAAACATACACATATTTAATAAAAGTAAATTAATTACATAATTTAGACTTTTCGACCTCTAACTATAACACACTCACTATATTTACAGAAATTACAGTTAATTTTATATAAATAACTAATACACTCATTATTACACCTAATTCGTGTTAAATAAGAAAACTAAATAAAGCTTAATTTGATAATAAAAAATACAATAAAATTACAATCAATAATGTTCGTTTTATATGTTAATATAGGAACCATTAATAAACTATAACAATACTTAAGACTATAACAGATACTTGAAAAAAAAAAACATAGGTATGTAATATGAAAAGTATGGAAAATAACAAAAAGTATTAAATATTTAAAATTGTCCAGAAACCCTTAAAAATGGGATTAAACATCTATTTATGTGTGAATAAGTTATACTAAAAAATACAGGAAAATTCTTTTTGAAACATTAGTCATTCAAAAGAATTAAAATTAATGCTTTAATCTTGGATAGTGTTATACATTTTACTTATCTTGTACTCCCTTATTCTACCTATACAGATTTGACGAATATATTTTAACACCATTTGTACAGTAGACTATATTATAGCACTCTGAATTTTCAAAAAATTACTTTAAAATTAAATTACATCATATTATTACTACACAAACGGTTCTGACCAGTATTTGACAGTTTTACCGTTGGATTTTTCGAAAATACCGCTACTAACTTTACTTTTAGACCGCAACTTTACATCTTTAGGTTTTAACATATGTTTATGATTACTGAGCAACCTCGAAGTGGTCATAATGGATTTTGAGCTTAAACCTGTACACTCCAAGAAATGTTCATAGGTAGGTTCAGCGTTGCAATTCTTCGAAGATTCCTTGTTGGATTTTTTCTGTGCATTTTGAATTTTCTGCAGCTTTAATTGATTTTTTAAAAGCTCTATAGAGCTGGGTTCTAAATTTACAGAAGGCTTGTCTTTTATAGCTCTTATTAAATCAACTCTGTTCGATGGATTCTTTCGTTCTGGCTTGGGAGGAGGTTTCTCAAGAATTTTAAAATTACCACTGTGTTTTTCATCACTTTGTGCTGTATCCTCACGATTCAACTCTTGCTCTACATCGTACTCCTCTATTTCACAATCATCCAACTTGAATTCCTCAAAGTTTTGACTAAGGTCGAAGTTTTGAAACGAAGAAACATCTGGAGACTTTTCATTGGTGTGCCGGTGCTGCTTATCCAAGTCTTGAAGATTATCAAAACTGGAAAACACTTTGATAGAATCAGATTTGGGTCGCTCATGTTTCTTTTTGATTTCATTCAAGATTTGGTGATTATTGAAACTGCTTATCAAGCTCGAGACTGTAGACCCCATAACAATTGGTCTTCTGTGATCACTTGGCTTTTTGGACTTTAATACTTGGGTGTTGTTTTTGATGTAATTGTCCTGAGCAATTCTTTCGTTCTCCTTTTCTTCGGGGTCATCAGGGATTATTATTTCTGATACTTGAGGAAGTTTAGGAATCTCAATTTCTATTTTCTTCTTAGGTGAATGATGGACAATAGTCTCCGGTCTTACTGATGTGTGTTTAGCTAATTGAATATTAAGATTCTCAACACACTTTTTAACTAATAAATTAGGTGCATTGTTATCCTCTTTTTGGATAGTTTTCGAATTGACATCATCTATTTTTTTAGCGTGTCTCTCAGCAGGTAAAGGTACATTCATTTTATTGATAACATCCAATGATGTAGGTGAATGTACGTCCGCAACCACGCTAATTTTTTTGACAGATACATTTTTACCCTGGGGCAAATTCAGTTCAGAAATAGAGCAGTAATCAGGCTCTAGATCCACAGAACTACCATTCTCACTGGGTGGTTGTTGTTTAGGAATGGACTGGATTTTGTATTTAGAAACTAAATTTGGTGGTTTAGGTGGTAGTGCTGGAGGTGTCCTTAAAATTTTACTTTTTCTTACTATTCCGTTGGTGGTACCATCAGGACCTTCTTTATCTGGTACGTTTTCCATTTCGATATAATTAGAGCTGGATTTAGAGTCGATGTTCTTTCTAGGCACGATTTCTGGTTTTGTAGTTTCTGTAAAAGATTCATTACATTTACTTAATATTTGTTCGTAGTCATTGCTGTAAATACTTTGGGGAGTTTCGTAGAAATTGGGAGTTTTTTGAATGGGTGTTTCATAATAATCCTGCTGACTGTCTGCTCTTTCTACTTCAACGTTTGTAACTTCTTCGTCGCTAAATTTAACCCTTTTATTATTTGTTTTCCTTTCAATATTGGGTGTTTTAGGAGGAGAATTTATGTCGTTTATGTTTTGCAACAAAATTTGATTCATGCACTCCAAAACAGGGTTATTTCTATAAACATCCCTTTGTTCCTCATCTTCCTGATCACTTGCACTAGCATACCAGTTATCGTTTGAATCTCCATTACCCTCGAAAACAGGAATCGTCTCAGTAAGTTTGTTTTCAGTATATTCTCTTTTGGTTTCTCGATTATCTGATTCAGTAGATATTATTTTTTCTTTGTCATTTTCGTGGACTCTTGTAATGTTTGGGTTTAGTTCTAATTTCGTGTTAATCACTGTTTTACCGCACTCCGATGAAGTCACGTTTAGGCTGGATTCAGAAGCAGTGCTCTTTGTTTGCGAAACTCTGTTAAATATATTTTTGATATTTTCGGATACAACACTGATTTTATCACTGACACTTTCTGGTGGTAGGGATTCTAAGTTATCGTAATCCGCACTGGTGTTGTCTTCATTGGATAAGGGGGTATCGTTTCGAAGTTTGAGCACTTCAAAATAGGTTGCCACATTTTTTCGATAAGGGTTGTTTTTCTTTGGTCCTTGTTCGTTGTTTTTGTGTTTTTGAAATACATTTTTTTCTTTTATTTCTTCTTCGTTTTCTGACTTAGGATAGCCACGTTCGGATAATGTCGCATACGTTTCGCTACTGCTATCTAGTGACTCAAAATTTGACGATTGATAATCGTGTTCGGTGGCACCGTATTCCGAACTACTGTTAAAGCTTTCTAGCGTTGCCGGGGATGTTGAATAATACTGATTGCAGTTTTTGCAATACTGACTTGCCAGAAGTTTTTTAATTTCGTTACTTTGCGTTTTAATTATGTAATCCTTTTCGTTCAGCTGATGAGTAATGAATTTCTGTTCCTGCTTCAGGCGAGCCTCGAATATTAACAGCGCCTTGAGTACTTTGGCCAGTTGCGTGTCACGTAGCATTTTTTCGTTTTGATATAGCTGTTCCTTCTTCTGCAACTTCCTGGTGTATTCGGAAACCAATTGTCGGCATCGTTTCGTTTGGAGTGTTAAGGCTTTCTGAACATTTTCTAATTCTTCTCTTACGGTCTTCATGTCATCTTCGGTGTACGCCATCTGAAACAATAATGAATAAATTACACATATTGTAATAAATATGATATATGAGTAAAAAAATATTATTTATGGATACTCTGAGTAAATACAGCTACGTAAAATTAATTAAGCGCTTGTTAACATGACATCCTCCGAAATTTCAAGTAAATAGATACATAATATTTGTAAATAATTCAACTGAAATTGTACAGGGTGGGTCAAATTCGACGCTATTAAATGGAAACACCCTTTTCTATAGGAGATAGACGAAAACTAATATCGGTGTCTGGAGCTCAATTTTCATCAAAAATGTGATGGTGAAAACCGCACATCAATATTTGTTACCGTTTCTAAGTTACGGGGTGTTTTTCAAAAATGTGCATTTTTAACAAATCGCGGTAATCGCTTTTTTGCTATGAAATTTTTTTTATTTCTATAAAAAACATTTCCAAAGCACCTTTTTACGTAGAATTTAATGGTTTAAGTATAATTTTTTTAAAATTAATAATTTAAGAGTTATCAACAGAAAATTTGATTTTTTATTTGGGACACCCTCTATATTTTTAATTAACTGAAAAGAATTTAAAATTAACATTCCAAAAATATAGCACACTTGATATTTTGTTATAATCCCCTTCGAAATACAGAATTTTTAAAAGTTTGCCACTTTTAATTAGTAGGCTTTGGACGCCTTATTGATGATATGCCCTTAATGGAACTCGAAAACATATTTTTCCAGCAAGACGACGCACCGCCTCTGAACGCTGAAGTTATCAGCAAATTTTTGCAGCCAATTTCAAAAATAATTGAATAAGACCTAGATAAGAAACTAACCAAGATCCCAGCCGTTGGCCGTCGAGGCCGCCTGACTTAGTGCCCATGGATCTAATCCTATGGATATATTTGCAAAAAGGTTCCTTATTCTTCCTTATAATCTAGACAAGAATTAGATATACTTCGCAGTTATGAGGGGGTATTCACCCCCACTGAGTCAATGAATTCCGCGAGAAATTTTCAAAAACTGCCCCGTATGTCCATAACAGAAGACGGTCGATATGTCGAGCACCTGTAGCAAAATCTCATGTCTTGGTTTGCTATTTATTTTTATTGTTATTATATATAGTTTAAATGTGTTGATGTTGGTTAAATATATTTTAAATTGTTATAAAATTCTGCATCTCTCATAGCAAATATTATTTTCGTTTTAATTGATGCTCACAGCTAGAATTTTTTTGCCTTACAGCTGGTGCCGTTCAAAGCCTACTTATTTAAAGCGGGCGAATTTTTATATACTCTATATCTCGAAGAGAAATCGAGCAAACGATTAGTGTTATATTTTTGGAAAGGTAATTTTAAATTCTTTTCAATAGATTAAAAATATACAGGATGTCCTATATAAAAAATCAAATTTTCTGTTGATAAATCTTAAATTATTAATTTTAAAAAAATTATACTTAAACCATTAAATTCTACGTAAAAAGGTGCTTTGGAATTGTTTTCATAAAAATACAAAATTTTCCATAGCAAAAAAGTTACAGCGATTTGTTAAAAATGCATATTTTTGAAAAACATCCCGTAGCTCCGAAACGGTAACAGATATCGATATGCGGTTTTCACCATCATGTTTTTGACAAAAATTGAGCTCCAGACACCGATATTAGTTTTTGTCTATCTCCTATAGAAAAGGGTGTTCCCATTTAAAAGCGTCGAATTTGATCCACCCTGTACAGAAAATAATATATTTTTCATAGTATTCTAAAAGTTTGGGATTATACATATTTTCACTAACTTTTAAAATCGTTACCAAAGGGTGTGATACCAAAATTAAAAAAAATACAGATACAAAGTCATTCCCTACATAATATACCGGGTGCGTCTCGAAAGTGGTTCATCCCTATAACTTTCTTATTTTTTCAGTTAAAAAAACGAGATTTGGTATTTTAGTACATGACATAAATTAGGATTGATTGACGTATACAATTGTTCACTTACTGTTTCACTGGAAATGACTACAACTATTGATTTTTAAATGGCACCCTCGGTATTTTTTTTACTTTATTCGATAGAAAATAATACTCTGAATTGAATGACATATCATATGTCAACTTTTGACATTTTCGCATATGGTTTATTTGAAATTATAACTTGCGGTTTGTAACGAAAATTTTTAACTCGAAATACCAAGTGTGTGGTATCAAATTATTCGTAAAAAAATGGTTTTTCCGAATATGCTAATGAGCCATCTTCATTCCATTTGAAAAAAATAGAGATATGATTAAAAATACGATTTGAGCATTTTACAACTGGCCAGGACAAGAAAGACACTAAAACATTAGGTAGACGATCAAATCTATTTTTCCGAATCTATTTTTTTTAGTGTCTTTAATATAGCCATGGCGCTAGATTGAATTTTAAAATACGATTTTTTATTAAGCGAGAATGTCAAAAGTTGACATATGATATGTCATTCTATTCAGAACGTCATTTTCTATCGAATAAGGTAAAAAATACCGAGGGTGCCATTTAAAAATGAAAAGTTGTAGTCATTTCCTTTAGGATGTGACAGAAAACAATTGAAAATGTCAATCAATCCCAATTTATGTCATATTCTAAAATACCAAAAGCCATTGTTCTATCTCAAAAAATAAAAAAGTTATAGGGGTGAGCCACTTTTGAGACCCACCCGGTATATTGTTTCCTGTAAACACTCATATATAAAGCGAGTCTTAAATAAGTGCAAATATTTTTAAGGATGATGTATTTCGATCCAGGAATACGAAATACGTCTATGAGGCTCTTTTCGCGAAATAAAAATAAAAACTTTGTATTTTCGATTTTTTTTTGGAAAGTTAATTTTCAGTTAAAAAATATAAAATCTCTTGTACTATCAAGATACAATATACTAATGGCAATATAAATACATAGTAGATTAAATTTACAGGAAAGAAAACCTAGAAAAAATCCTATGATTCTCAAAATTTAAACAAAAATTCTCTTTCTTTAAATTTCAAAGTAAAATAAGAGATGCATTTATTTAAAACTCACCCGGTATACTACTTCTTTCTCTCTGGTTTTTAGGTATATTGAAAATGTTTTGGAATAGTGCCCTGAACACCAATGCCGATATTTTAAGAAAGTAAGTTAAAATATATATAAGCAACAATTCATTTTTTTACACCTTTTAATACCATAAGATCGAAAAAAACGGCGTCTAGTTGGCTTGGTGGGCCCCCATATAATTTTACATCGATCCAAAATGACAGCGATCTTCATTTCCACGCCATCTCTGACGCCAATTTTTTCGATCCCAAGATATTTTAGTAAATCAAATTTAAAAAGTTCTAAAATAGATGAAAATAATCTGAAACAAAATACAATACAAAAATACAGAAGATAGAACATTAAATGGAATGGCAAAAGATCTAAGAACAAGTACCGAAAAAGCAATATTAATATTCACAATTCTCCTTATGTACTGATTAAAAAACAGATGTTTTTAAATCACCAAAAAAACTAGTACCTCCAGCCTCAACGTACGAAAAAGTTGAACAATATAGATTTAAGGAGAAAACTTTCGATATTTTTAAATCGCCTACTTTAAAATTGAGGCCACAATTAATCTTGATGGAAAGCAGTCCGTCTCTTAAATTATTCTTATCGGTTTTATTCTGTCTGGGTTCTGTGGATTTAGGTCTTGTTTTCCACCTTGTTTCTTGTTGCACACATTTGATACAGTATGATCGAAAGATGGCTTGGAAATTGCGAATTATGACAACGATCCTCAATTCCATGCTCCTCCAAACTCCGACGACTTTTTTTTTTCATAGTATGATATTTACTATATACTTTGTGACTGCTATGATACTCTATATTTTGTACAATAAAATTTTAATATAATATTTTTTTCAAACATTTTAATCTTTCAAACACAAAGAATAATATAAGGAAAAATATGTCAAATAAATTTGGTACTAAGATATAAGTTTTATATTATGATAAACAAATTTAAAAATACATGTGCACTCAGTTAAAATCTTTATACCGTCCTACAATAAATTGACCTTAAATCAATTAAAATATAACGAATTTTGCTGTCCTTACTAAGAAGTTTTCGTAACATAACGAACATAAATAATAGGAATGAAGCGGAAATAACATTAAAAACAAATAAAAAAGGTCAAAAAAACTATAAACTTTCAAGAATAAAAGTTTATAGTTTGTTATTACGGTACATGTTTTAATATAAATCATCTTATACTAAGAAATACAAGGTGATACGATTATACTCATTCATGGTCTTTCAATCTTTAGTAATTATTGTTCGCTAGTTTCTATTAACTGATTATAAAATTGCTACTGAAAAGTTGGTTTGGTTTGGTTTATTTATTTTCATTTTCAAGATGCAGTAGGTATTTAAAAAAGTCTATGTCCTCAGTGAGTAAAAACTTTCCAACAAAAATCACGCAAGTACTGTACAGGGTGGCTCGAATTCGACGCTCATCATTGGGATTTCGGAAACCGTAAGAGATATAGGATCGGTTAAATAGAGGCAAAGTTGCACAATTTGATGCTCAATAAAATGCCGTATTGCATTTTGAAAAATTCCGAATACTTCCGAATATATTCGAAAAAAAACCGGAATTTTCAATTTTGTTTTCTATTGTTTCCTGGCTTTATTTGTTAAGGTAACTTAAAATGAAAAACACATTTTCATGGCCACTTTTTGTGCTCTATAACTCTCTGTGGAACTAAAGGACAAATTTGCTGACAACTAAATGTTGGGACAAGTATTTTTAAATAATTAATATCATCATAGGCGGCTTTGCTATAAACGTCACAAATGTCGCAAACTGCTTACTTCAGCATTGACAGCTTGTAAGTGACTCGATACTTTGAATAGTGGGATTTACTGTAAGTACTTTTAATTTTTTTAATTTTCAATTTTGTTAATTATTTAATTCAAAGTAATGGTCCGTGGCAAAGCTACACATTAAAAACTACGCGAAATTATCATTCGTCAA